TGGGTGGGCGTCCCTGCGCGGTCGCTCGGTGAAGCCGTCTTGCGCTGTGCTGCTTTGACAGGTCACCAGCTGGCCGAGATCCGGGAGCGCGCGCTCCGGAGCATCCTCTGCAAGGTGGAGCACGACTTAATGGGCGATGCCGACCTGATCCGGGAGCGGCTGCTCTTCGTCCGCCTGCTGGAGTGGTTCAACTTCCCCTCGGTCCCCATGAAGGAGGACGTGCTGAGGCTGCTCAACAGGCTGGTCAAGGTGAGTTCACTTTGAAAGGGAAAACGACTAGACGAGTGAGTGTTTCTTGGTCATCTAGTTGTAGCATTTATTGACCGTTCAGAAACTGGGCTTTACAGCAGTTCTTAAAACCACCAGAGACGTTGGATTTTAGTTGATCTCTACCTAGGTTGCCCATTCCCCTCTTCTCTTACTTGGGGTGTTGTTTCTGACATTGCCAATTCACTGTGTTCAGACATAGAACAGAAACCACCCTGAGTTCTGGTACGTTCTTGACTTCTGCAACCCTGTTTGGAGGATGACTTGTCATTGTATTTTTTACTATTTCTGATTTTACGTGTTAAAATTAGGTGTGTCAGTACTAAAGAGAGCACATTTTAAAACGGTATTACAGACCATGTTTAATAAATAGCAAGTTTATTAAGTTGCTTTCTCATGTCTAGTTTTTAGATTTTATGTTCCCATGCCTACCCCAAGAATAGTTAGTTGTCAGGGTGAAAATGTCAAAATGTTAAGTTTAGCCTTTCATACTTTTAATCCACCACCTGTATGTTGCTGGGGGGTTCTTATTTGGCATTTTAATGACTGACTTGAAATAAGAGAGGATAATAGGGGTCAGTGCAGAAAAGTAACCTATTAAATAAATGAACAATTGGAATTAATAGTGTGTATTCCTGGTGCTCAGTGTTTTGGCTCATCTTTTTTTTATATTTTATTTTTTTTTAGTTTTAGGTGGACACAATATCTTTATTTTATTTTTATGTGGTGCTGAGAATCGAACCCAGTGCCTCACACATGCTAGGCTAGCGCACTACCACTTGAGCCACATCCTTAGCTCCTTGGCCCCTCTTTCATAACTGTTACAGACAGTTTTATGTAAGTCCTGTAAAGTTATGTCCTATTAAAGGAAGTTGTTTACTTTAAAGCACAACAATGCAAGATTTGTTTTTCAAAAAAGGAGTATCGATACACCAAGTCAATTTTGTTTTGATTGCTGTAAGACAAAAAGCTTAGAGAGTTTCATATTTAATAGTTATTCTCAAGGTTGTCCCTCTTTTTATTCAGTATCCCCCTGCAGTCCAGCATCTGATTGACCTTGGTGCAGTAGAGTTCTTCTCTAAGCTTCGCCCTAATGTGGAGCCAAATCTGCAGACTGAAATCGATGGCATTCTGGATGGACTCTTTGTTCTTCTTTCAGAAGCTCCTGTACTGTACTCTGCCTCTCATCAGACCAATCAAACTGGTAATGCTTTGTAATAAATTATATGGAATCTGTTAAAATAAGTGTATTGGTTATCATGGTAAATTTTAAGAAAAAGAGTATTAAACTTAAAAAAGTTTCCTCTTACCCTTCCCAAATTTAATTTTTTTTTTTTTTTTTTTTTGCTGCTTGCATGATTGATCTCCATCCCCCAACCCCTCTACTTTTATTCAGAAAAGGATACATTTGTATTTCTTGCTGTTTTGGTCAGGCCAGAAAGATGCCACTGACTTTGCTTTTCTTAGAGTAATTTGACATATTATTTCTTTAACAATAACAATACTTTTTTTGGTGTGTGGTGCTGGGGAGGGAACGTAGGCTTGTAGCATGCTAGGCAAGCGCTCTATTACTGAGCTGCATCCTCTGCTTCACAACACATTTTTATTGAGCATTAATTAGTATATGTCAGACATTATTTTAAGTGCTTTATTCTAGGCATTTTTGGACAATATTCTTTATATTAAGGTATAATGGTATTTGTCCTACCTCATGAGTTTGTATGGAGAACAATTAAAATGACATAATGCAAGTATTTTATAGGCTGCAATGTACAGTGTTATACTGGCTAAAATCAGAGAGGTAAGCCTCTGCTGTGCTTCTAGTTGTGTGGTCTTGGCTCCTTCCAAGCTTCAGTTTCTCATCAAAAAATTGGGATAATAAGGAAGAACATATTTTTCATAGAATTGTTGTGAGGAATAAGACCTAGCATACATTGTTAGCTGCTATTGTGTGTTCTTGTGGTACATGATTTTAGTGCCCAGTATAGTGCCTTACACATGGAAAACATTTGAATTGATTGAAGGAAAAAAAATGCTAATGTGACTTATGTGAGTGAGTAGTAAAAGTATTTTAAAAATAGTTTTGATTGCTTAATCTGTTAGACCATATTTTTGTCTAACAGATGGTAATTGCACTACTCCTACTGTTTCAACTGCTGATGCTATTCTTAACGGCAACATTAACAGTTACTATTTATTGAGTGTTATTATGGGGCACTGAATGAATTGATTTAAACAGATTGTCTCACTGAATTTTTAAGTAGTCCTTTAATTGAGAAGTTATTAGTCTAATTTTATAGGTGAGAATAAAAATGAAAAGTAACTTGCCCCGAATTACTGTTTTCTAATCTAAGGCAGAGCCAGAATTCTAATTTTGCTTTATTTGGCTTCAAATCTTGATTGATTGCTATTTTACATTTTCTGAGATATCACAAAGTAAAATCTTAAATTGTGAATTTTAATATCATTAGTTGCAGGTGAGATTAGAGGAATGGTTGAGGGCTAATTTTTAATTATCTGTATTAACAGTAACTACTGTATTAATTGGAAAAACTGGCATGAGCAGTTCAAACACAGAATTTAGTTTTAGACTTTTACTCATTGTCATTTTCATTTTCACTGATCACATATGACTGAATTTCAAAGGTATTGAAAATAATGATTGACTCCTTTGTTTTTGATGACTCTTTTAAAGTTGTTAATGAAAATTGATGAGATTAGGAACTATAAAATTGGA